CACAATTCACCCGCTTGTATTGTTTCCAATACAGTCAGCAACTTCATGCTGACTCTTCCTTTACATGAATGCAACATGCAGCCAGCTAAGCAAACTAACTTTAATGACTTCATGCCTCAATAGGAGATGGAAAATCATATGAAGCAAATGCCACTTAAAGTTGCCCTGCGCAGTTTTAAGTCTGCACTCGCATTTTGATTGGAGCAGCTCTGCAAGTGACTGAGGAAAAGTGTCTCTGCTGATGCAATGTTTTCCAATATAGCACTGGAGGCTTTGATGCAGGAGATGAATAAAAGGAAAGAGTTCATCTATCCACTGAAGTACCAGAGGTCCTGCATAAAGGCAGTGGGAGTACATAGTCCTCTAGATCAATGTCAGCATCATAGCTTTCAGGGGCCTAGTGTTGTGCCACAAAGATTCAACATCTTCATCTTAACAAATTGTCAAAACCAGTGAAGTTACCTTCAAAATGCCACATGTCACCAACGGCACATTAACTTCACATTCTGCTTTAATAATCTCCCTCAATCACCTCATAACTACGACTCATAGCCTCATCTTACCCTCAAACACTTAGCACTGTTACAAACCTCATACCCACATCTCACAACTTACATATACTGGCAGCTATTTAACCATGACAGACACATTATCCAAGCTCATTGCAACACACTCACTGACACATTTTCCCTTCTGTTGAAGGATGAGGTGGCACAGAAAACGGGAGGACTACGTCTTGTTCTAGTGAAGTAACAGCATGACATAGATTTTTTTATTCAATCACAGATCTGGGCATTGCTAGCTGAGCACTTATTATCTATCCCTAGTTGCCTTTGAAAAGGTGGCAGTGACCTGGCTCCTAGTCATCTTGGATAGTTCAATTCAGCTTCTGATCAATGGTACCCCCAGGATTTCATTTGAGGGCTATTTAATGACAGTAATGCCAAGAACGGTCAAGAAAACACAACAACACCTCTTCTTCCTCAGGTGGCTCAGGAAATTTGGCATGTCCATAAGGACCCTTGCCAACTTTTACAGATGCCCCATAGAAAGCACGCTGTCCAGGTGCATAACAGCCTGGTACAGCAACTGTTCTGCTCAGGACCACAAGAAACTACAGAGAATTGTGTACACAGCCCAGACCATCATGGAAACCAATCTCCCATCCATGGACTCCATTTACATGTCTTCTTGCCACGGAAAGGCTGCCAACATCATCAAAGAGCCCTCCCACCCCAGTAATGCTCTCCCACAACCTCTTTCATCAGGCAGAAGATACAGAAGCTTGAACAAACACACCAGCAAGTTTAAGAACAGCTTCTTCCCTGCCATTATTAGACTGATGAGTGGACTGCCTAAATTCAAATAGTGTTGATCTTATTAACGTTGATCTTGCCTAGTGCCTGTCCTGTGCAGTGTTACCTATATGCTTTGCTCTGTCTGAGATTTTTTTTTAACCTATGGTCTGCCCGTACTGCTCACAAACAAAACTTCTCACTGTACTTAGGTACACGTGACAATAAATCAAATCAATCAATCAATCAATTGAACATCAAGAGACAATGGTTAGATTCTTTTGTATTGGAGATCGTCATTGTCCTACACTGGTATGGTGTGAATGTTGCTTGCCATTTGTAAGTTCAAGCCTAGATGTCATCCTGGTCCTTATGCATTTGAACATGGATTGCTTCAGTATCTGAGGAATCACAAATGTTGCTGAACATTATGCAATCATCAGTGAACATCTCCACTTCCAACCTTATGACAGTGAGAAGGTCATTGATAAAGCAGCTGGAGATGGGTGAGCTAAGGACACGACCCTGAGGAACTCCTACGGAGATGTCCTAAAGTTGAGAGAATTGACCTCCAGCACCTTCCTTGTTGCTAGGTATGACTCCAACCAGCTGGAAATCGCAATCCCAACTCCCACAACACTACCACCCCCACCCCACCCCGATTCCCATTGACTCTATTTCTGTTTGGACTCCTTGATGCCATGCTCGGTTAATTGTGGCCTTGATGCCATGTTTAATTACTGTCACCCCACCTTTGGAGGTCAGCTCACTTTTGTATGTTTTAGCCAATGCTGTAATGAGATCAGGAGCTGAGTGACCCTTCAATCTCCTCTGGGACTCTATACCACAGTGCTGCCACCTCTGGTGGGTCTCTCCTGCCAGTGAGACAGGGCATACTCAAGAATAATGATGGGATTGTCTCGGATATTGTTTGTGAGGTGCGAATTCAAGAGGATGACTAGGAGGCAGCTCACCATTACCTTCTCAAAGGCAACATGGGGTGAGAAATATCAACCCCTGCTTGAATAATTAAAAAAAAAAATTAGGGATGTGCAATAAATGCTGGCTGAAGCAATGATACCCAGAGCAAATGAACAAGTTAAGCAAAAAGAGCCAGAGGGAGTTGGAACCAGCCAGTGGCATGGCTCTACAACCTCAATCCAATGAGAGGGGACAATGCTTACCATCATCTGACCAGACATGACTGAGGCTGTTATTGCAGAAAGTAGGGTAGAGGGTGTGTGGGCTGTGAGTGCTGAAACTAATGAAGATATTCTAATACCTAAGCCTCCCTTTCACCTCCTCCACCTGGCCTTCATTCCTCACTGTCTTCGGATTTAGATGCTACAAATGCTGTGATTCTACCACTTTCTTTCTCCTCCCTTCCTTCACCACAATGCAACACTTGTGCCTATTTCCTTTGAGATACACAAGAACTGACACTGGCCGGGCAGTGGTGGAAGAGAATGAAGTGGAAGAACTGGAAATATCATCCGTCGCTCACACTCACAACCACCAGCTCAAATACTGACATTGTGTGCACTTTCAAGGATTACTCAGAAGTGGGATCTGAATGTGCTGTGACACTGAGCATGCCTGAGCTGCAGTTAGAGTATGGAACACAGTTATTGCAGGTACCAGCTCAGTGGAGGATGAACTCACACATAAGCTCTGATGCAGAGTGATTCAATGGGACAGCACACAATAAAAGGTTGATGGGTATCCACAATGAAATGCTTGATACATTGGAAAACCTGCTGTCACCCCATGGAGCATGGGGCAGTAAAACAACAACATTGCACATGGTTCAATGCAAAGTATGGTGGCCAAAGCTTCCAGCATGGAAATGGTAGCCAACTGTATTACCATCCCATTGGAGCCAACCCTGATGCAGCAACTGATGTTTGATACCCAGTTCCACAGCAACACAAGTAGAAACCAGCAAACATCTGAGTGCTGCAGTGGAAGCTCAATCTGCAGTTATACAAACTCAAAGTCCTGCCATCTTAGCAGTGAAACCCATCTGTTGTACATTGTCCATGTTCCAATACATGTAGGGGGACAGGTAACACTACTGCTTGCAGACCATTAGCTCGATGGCACGATTGCGATCTTTGTCGTCAAACTCTCTGTTCCTCAGATAGCCAAAGGCTGCATTGGTACACTGGAGGCAATGTTGAATTTTACCATCAATGTCTACTCGCACTGAGAGGAAACTTCCAAGGTGTTGAAAATAAATTCATGTTGTCTAGGGACTAGCCATGGATCTTGATATTGGTGCAGATAACAGTACTATGTGGAAAAGAGCTGATAAACACATTTTTAATTGGTAATGGTTTGAAGGATTATGGAGAGTGGACAGGAAATGGAGTAGAGGCTGAGATGAGATTAGCCATGATCATATTAAATGATGGATCAGGCTTGAGGGACTGAACTGCCCATTCCTACTATTAGTTCTTACGTACGTATGGGAAGAGACTGATAGAGGACATTTGTCTTCCAATTTACCCCTGAGGGATATACTGTCATTAGTCTCTGAGAAAACATCAGCAATAGTTTGGGGTGTTCAGCTTCCAACTATGCACACATCCTTATTGCAACTCCATGACAGAGGTTGGGTTGGTCTTGGTTCTGGATTGGAGGTGACTCTGAATAGTTTCTTGCTTGTCCTATAAGTAAGCTCCACCCCAGTAGGATGTCTCATAGATATGAGGAGGAGTGTCACAACAAGGAAAATAGAAATGGGCATTCAAGCAATGACGCAGCTTTATTGACTACAGTTTGCATAAGTATTGGAGCTGTGGTGAATTGTGGGTGAGGATCATGAATAGCAGGCTATCATGCTGCTAACAGAGGATGAGAATGAATTTATGCAGGGAACCGAATGTGAGGAAAGCTCTCCATTTTACCTCCAGGTTGGTATTATCTAATAGGGTCTGAAAGGTTGCCTAAGCCCTCACAAAATGGAGAACAGATGATGGATATATTAGTTAAGGGTTAATTGGGTGTGAATGGTTTTTATATAACTATGGGGAGTTAGTAATCAGTAGGCTGAGAGTTTTATAGTGTTTAATTAATGGAAATATGGCTCTTACCAAAAATGTAGACATGGATTCTGTTCCAAAACATTTATCTTTGAACATATAACACCAGTTAACAGACTCAAAAACCTTTGAGAGTTCAAGGAAGGCCATATATGGAGGTAGCTGCTGTTTTCTGCACTTTTTTGAATTTGATTTGTTGTGAAGGTCATGTCCACTGTGCCTCTTAATAGATAGAAGACACTCAAACCCCTTGAGAAGTATTACCAGCGATTATTCTACACAGTCCCTCAGATACAAAGGCAGTATTGCTGCTGTTCGCTCAGTGTCCTCTCTCATGCCAATATCCTGAGTATTGAGAAACTGGGTATGATCAATCAGCTGCTGAACACAAGACTTCCAAAACAAGTGCTCTTCTCTGAGCTTCACTAAGACAAGTGGCAGAGAAAGCATTTAAAGGTGTCCTCAAAGTCTCCCTGAAAAATATACAGTATCTTCATCAACTCATGGAATCCCTGCTCAGGACCACCCAAACTAGAGAATTAACAGCTGCCAAGCTACCAACAATTCCGGGTATCTCTGACATGCCCAGATGGAGGAGAAAGATAATACTGTATAGCTGTTGGGTTTGTTTGTTTATTTTACTTCAGTACAATCTGGTGTTTCACTTGGAGCTGGTGAACTTGGTCAGTGCCTTTGTGCCCTCTGACGTGGCCTGCTTGGCCGGCTCCCCAAGCAATAGGAGGCACACAGTGGTCTGAATTTCCCAGGAGCTGATGGTGCTGCACTTCTTGTAATGGACCAGGCAGCAATGTCTGCCCATGATGCGCTCGAAAATATCATTGCCAAGCAAGTTCATGATGCTCATGGCCTTGGAGGTAATGTCAGTGTCAGGGTAAACATGCTTCATCACTTTGTAGATATAGATGGCGTAACTTTCTTTCCTGGACTTTCTCCTCTTCTTGCTGCTCTTCACTGTATATATCTCTCTGTAACTGCATGAAGGGTTTGTGCTGAGGCTCCACGTCATGGACAAGAGTGTGAGGTGAATTAAATCATTTTATGGATCCTCTACCTCTGTCTGTAAACAAAGGGAATTTCTAATTTTCCTTCCTCATTTATTTTCCCTTTTGAAATAGTTGGTGGTGGGTCTCCCCAAATCCTGTCTTTGTGAAGTTCAATTTAAAAAATGATACACAATAAATTCTTTCGGGTTAAAACAAAAAAGGGGTTCATTAATGTATTCAAAACGTGGAGGACAGAACACAAGCATGCAGGATGAAAGAATTTTAAAAAGGAAAAGAAATTACAATTATGTACAAATTAAAAAAAGGATATTTTTATTTGAAATATTTTTGTCACATGTACCAAAATACAGTGAAATGTATTGTTTTTGCATGTTAGTTAGGCAAATCATGCCTTATATAACTACATCAGGGTAATAGAACAGGATGCAGAATATAGTTTTATGGCTACAGAGAAGGTGCAGAGAAAGATCAACTCGAATAGAGTCAGAATTCAGAAAATCAGTGATAGTAGGAACTGCAGATGCTGGAAAATCTGAGACAACAAGGTGTAGAGCTGGATGAACACAGCAGTCCAAGCAGCATCACAGGAGCAGGAAGGCTGACGTTTCGGGCCTAGACCCTTCATCAGAAAATGATTTTTCTGGTTTTGAGAGAGGCTAAGATGAGACGCAAGCCTCAGCTGAACCTAGAGGTGCTCACAGTTCTTTGTTCTGACTGAGAACAGAATTCAAAGCTTCCAGGATGACTCAGTTCAATTCAATGAAGTTGTTTTGATGTGCCTGTTCAAAAGCCACAGCGTGTTATAGGAGATAACTGTGGGACTACTTTTAGGGAGATGGTGGCAATGATGTCACCAGACTAGTAATCCAGAGGCCCTGACTCTAAAGACATGGCAACTGGTGAAATGTGAATTATTTAAAAATCTGGAACACTGTTTGTGACCATGTTAATTATCATCAATTGTTGCAAAGAATTATCTGATTCACTAATATTCTTCAAGCAAGGTAATCTACCATCCTTATTTATTCTGACTCATGCGTGATTCCAGATGCAGGTTTACTCTTAATTGTTTCTAAAGTGGTCGAGCAAGTCACTGAGTTGAAAGCAATAGGCGATGGGTACTATATGTCAGCTGTGCAATCACACCCACTTCCCATGAAAGAACAAAACGAGAAAAAAACACTTCAGACGTAGTAAATTTCAATGGTTTGGTTGCAAACAAAACCCAGCCAGGAAGATGCTCTGAGATAACAAGGTGTAGAGCTGGATGAACACAGCAGGCCAAGCAGCATCAGAGGAGCAGGAAAGCTCAAAAGAAGTGTCTAGGCCCGAAACGTCAGCCTTCCTGCTCCTCTGATGCTGCTTGGCCTGCTGTGTTCATTCAGCTCTACACCTTGTTATCTCAGATTCTCCAGCATCTGCAGTTCCTACTGTCTCAGGAAGATGCTCTGACAGCTGTGACTTTATGTGGCTTTATTGCAATGTTCATACAATGAGAAGTATGGGATTCCAGTGAAATGATGAGCTAGCTTTGTCCCCGTAATTGCTGGAACTCCCTCAAAGCAGCCAACATGCCCAATCTGTTGTCAGTATGAGTTATTTCATATTCAGCATGAGTCGATTTTAAAAATTAAACTAGTCGGGTTTGTTTTAAAAATAACTAGGATTTCTCTTTGTGCCTTGTGGGTGTGACATCCTAGTAGTGGATAATCATTGCACAGGGGCCCTCACTTCTGCACCTTTAGCAAAGATCACTGTAGTTGTAATAATTTGACAAATGGGATTTGTCACAAGTAGCTGGTTAGTGACTTCCAGTAGTTTCACATTCTTTGAGCCAAAGGATGTCCACTGAAATATCTTTCCCAGGAAGATTGTTCCATATAGGATGCCGCGATGAAAAGTGTACAGTTGGTAGATTGAGGATATCTTTATGGAGTGGTAAGCGATATGCAACACGGATAGTTTCAACCAGCTTGCATTTTTTGTCAATTAGCAGATGTGTGAAGGAATATGTTTGTAAGGACTGGAAGCCAGGAAAGCTGTACCTAGGACGGAGGTTACTTTGGGACCCAGTAATTAAGGGGCGGGGATCTATGGGGACAGCTGTGCTTGTTGGGTCAGGGTTGGGACCCAGGAGCAGCATCTAGGCCTGTGATGTCTGTCTCTATCCCTGTGAGAGAGAGTGCAGAGTGTAATAGGGTAAAGTGCTGAGGTCCAGAGTACTGTGCTTCATGACCATTCAGCAAGTTTGTTCAGTATGTTGTTTCTGGTTTTGACATTTGCTACTTTTTCTTCAGATCTTCAGATGCGAACTATACGGTAAATGGAAAAGCCCTGGGGAAAATTGATGCACAGAGAGATCTGGGTGTTCAGATCCATTGTACCCTGAAGGTGGCAACACAGGTCAATAGAGCGGTCAAGAAGGCATACGACATGCTTTCATTCATCGGACAGGGTATTGAGTACAAGAGTTGGCAGGTCATGTTACAGTTGTATAGGACTTTCGTTCGGCCACATTTGGAACACTGCGTACAGTTCTGGTCGCCACATTACCAAAAGGATGTGGATGCTTTGGAGAGGGTGCAGAGAAGGTTCACCAGGGTGTTGCCTGTTATGGAAGGCACTAGCTATGAAGAGAGGTTGAGTAGATTAGGATTATTTACATTAGAAAGACAGAGGTTGAGGGGGGACTTGATTGAGATCTACAAAATCATGAGAGGTATAGACAGGGTGGATAGCAAGAAGCTTTTTCCCAGAGTGGGGGACTCAATTACTAGGGCTCACGATTTCAAGGTGAGAGGGGAAAAGTTTAAGGGAGATATGCGTGGAAAGTTTTTTACACAGAGGGTGGTGGGTACCTGGAACGGGTTGCCAGCGGAGGTGGTAGAGGTGGGCATGATAGCGTCATTTAAGATGCATCTGGACAGATACATGAATGGGCAGGGAGCAGAGGGATACAGATCCTTGGAAAATAGGCGACAGGTTTAGATAGAGGATCTGGATCCGCGCAGGCTTGGAGGGCCGAAGGGCCTGTTCATGTGCTATAATTTTCTTTGTTCTATGAATGTTCCCTAAAGGACAAAGTTCTATTTAGAGTCACTCCCAAGTATGTTGGGTTGGGAATCAAATTTTAGACTCTGACTATATATACAGATAGTTTTGTTTTGGCATTGGAATTGTGCAGATGGAAGACACCACCCATGGTTTAGGGAAATTGTAAACAGAATTTTACATCAAAATTTAAAAAGTTTCAATAATTCCTGATTGTCCAATGTTCTCTGCTTCACATGTATTAATGATTGTTTCTTGGTTTGAGGCTTCAATCTTTATAACTTCATGAAAGTGAAGAGGGTCTGAGAGGAGGAAGCTGCCATATGTTCCCTGTTTTCCTTGGGTCACAATCGTCACTGTTGCCTTCCTCTTGTGTTTTATGCTGCTCTTCACATTCTCTGGAAATTAAGTCCAAAGTTCCTATTATCAAGATTGGTCTAGAAACTAGAAGTTTCTCCAAAAATGAATGCTAACACTTGTTGCACTTGAATTAAGTTTTGTTTTGTAGGACTTCATTGAGGTGAATTAATTTATTTAGTAAATGTTTTTTTTAATGAATGAGAGTTTTTCTCAACATAGACAAAGTCTGCACTACACTTACTTTATTTAATAGACATCTACTTTTCTCGTCTGTGCCTGGGTCCCAAGATCCATCCACAGGGGTACTGGGTAACCTGGCATGGTAGCCAAAAAGGCAATGGCTGGTGGGTGAGGAACATGGGTTGTCATGTATTACTACCCATGTTGGCATAGGGACTAGAAAGGACTAGGTGTGGATACAGAGGCATAGATTGGTGTGGAGGTCACAGTGAAACATGGGTTTGGGATGGGTGTGCATAGAGTCATAGAGTCATACAGCACTGAACCAGACCTTTCGGTCTAACCAGTTCATGCCAAACATAATCCCAAATTAAACTAGTCCCATCTGCCTGCTCCTGGCCCATATCCCTCCAAACCTTTCCTATTCATCCAAATGAATATTAAACATTGTAATTGTACGCGCATTGACCACTTCATCAGGAAGTTCAATCCCCACGTGAACCACACCTTAAAAATGTGCCCCCTCGTCTTGAAATTCCCCATCTTAGGGAAAAGACAACTACCATCAACTCTATCTATTCCTCTCATTATTTTATAAACTTCTATCAGGTCACCTCTCAACCTGCTATGCTCCAATGAAAAAGTCCCAGCCTATATAGCCTTTCTTTATAACTCAATCCTTCCATACCTGGCAACATCCTGGTAAATCTCTTCTGAACCCCCTCCATTTTGATAATATCCTTCCTATGCCTCTCTAAAAGTCCATAAATCCTATCTTTTATAATCACCTCCAACCATTTACCCTCAACCAAAGTCAGACTTACAGGTCTATATTTCCCTGATTTCTCTTTACAACCTTTCTTAAACAAAAGTACAAATTAGCCACCTTCCAGACATCAGGCAGCTCACTCGTAGTTATAGATGATGCAAATATTTCTGCAAGGGTTCTCGTTATTTCCTCCCTTAATTTCCACAAAGTTCTGGAATACATTAAATCAGGTCCCAGAGGTTTATCTACCTTTATATTTTCTAATATCTCCTGAACTTCCTCTTCTGTAATGTGAACTGTTTGTAAAACATCTATGTTTATTTCTCTGCATTCTCTTGACTCCACTTCCTTCTCTACAGTAAAAACTGACACAAAATATACATTTAGCATCTCTCCCATCTCCTGGGGTTCAACACAAAAACAACCTCCTTGATCTTTAAGAGGTCCAACCCTCTCTCCAGTTACCCTCTTGCTCTTTACGTATTTGTAGAATCTCTATAGATTATCCTTAACCTTATCTGCCAATGCTATCTCATATCCCTTTTTGCCTTCCTGATTTCTCTCTTAAGAACACCCCTGCACTCTTTATATTGATTAAGAGATCCAATTGAACCAAGTTGTCTATACTTTTTTAAATATTCT